GGGCAAAACCCTAAACCCATTTTGGCAAAAGTCGAAACTTTTCAGAAATTATTTCGACAGTTTCGATGGGTTTCGATAACAACTTTGCGAATTTGACGGTTTAACAAGTTTATTGTAATACAATGTAGAATATAGAAACGATTTTTGGTTTTTTGATTTTTATTTTAAATTAAAACAAAGTTTTCAAAATAATACATTATTTATCGAGCAGGTTTTAAATTGGAAGCAATGATAAGCTGTTGAAGAATTAGAAACAATTACCTTATGAAGAATATGATGATAGAGATTGGAACTGGGTTTATTTTTATATACGGATTTATTTAATTTTAAAAATCGGATCCGGATTTAAATCCGAAAACTGTGCAGATCAAATAATGTTTTTAAAGCTTAATAAATTATACACCCTGCGGATATCTGGGTTTAAACCAGAATGTCGAATCCGGTTTCCAACCTTTAGATGATTATTCAAATGAAAGTTTAATGGAAGAAAATAAGAATATTGTCATGAGTTTAAATGAAGAAAATATGGGAAATAAAATGATATATCGATATGTAAATTTTTTGATTTTTTTTTTATCTAAAAGAAAGTGATATTTGTTATATACGATTTGCTCATCTCGTTATACGAAAATAATAAATTTAAAAATTATAAAATTTGCATTTTAATGCAGAAGGTTTCGATGGGTTTTGCCATCCGTCGAAACTTTCGCAATTTTGCCTTTAATAAAAATATTTGGCGAAACGTTTCGAAGGGTTTCGATTTCGATGCCTGTCGAAACCTCCGGGTTTTGCCCGGCAACCTTATTTTAAATCAATGTAAAAAAAAATTATTTGCTGCTCAAAGCAGGCTTATTTATTAGCAACAACTATTGAGTAATATATTTTTATTATTTTAGAACCTCAACCTAGTAAATTCGTATGAACATGATAATATTGGTTTGTTATAAATTCACATCTCTTATACGTCTGATGAGTTCTGGACAACTTTAAATCTGGCTAAAACTTTATGAAAATTCCAGTCGAAATGCATAGTTATGATTGCTAATTTCAAATAAAGAGACGCGACTTAATTAACTGAGACTGCGTCATTTCAAGATATAAATCATTAGTAATGGTAAACTTATATATCTTTTAGTGATAAGTCTAAATCATAGGAAATATAATCAAGATAAAGGTTCCTCTATTTCTTTTTTTAAACAATCATACGCATTAAAAGATGTAATAGCCTCAATAATTAATTTTTACAAATAAAAAAAGTTTAAGTCGAAATAATAAACAAAAATCATTATACAATTTCAATATATGGAACAAGAAGCAATGTATATACAAATATGAGGCATCCAAAACCTTTTTACATAGCTAATTTATTCATTACTAAAAATAGAAATCAGATTAACCCAAAATCTCGGATTTACATAAGATGTCTCCGTTTTGGGACATCGCAACCTACATCATAAATATTTCTGGACAATTTAAATGTTTTATAATTGAGCAATTATGAATCAATGTCGGCGCTCTATTAAATTAATAAACTTCGAACAAAAGAAAAATAACAAGGAAATCGAATAAAGTTATAAAATTAAAATTTCAATGGTGATGAATGAAAGAAAGGAGTAAAGATAGGGGTTTTCGTTGTGTATATCCAAAGGAACGTGAATTCTTTATAATTCTCAAAAAAAAACATCTTAAGTTATATAATAAAATTTTAACATGCACATAATGGAGGGGGAGGGCATTCATGATGCCTTTTCACCAAGCTTGAGTGTTTCTCACCGGAAGAAGGAGCTGAGAAAGCAACATTATTGAAAGCTGAAATGACGATAATAAATATGAAAATGTGAATTTTCATGATGACTTTGAAAGTATTTGAAAGATTATAATATGTGAATTTTATAAATTAGATTCTTGTGGGAATGTAGCTTAAAGACGTGTATTTATAAGCAAGTCTGATTAGAGTTCCAATTTAAATTATTTAATGTCATTGACAATGTAATAACAAAATTTCCTCACTTTATATAGTTTTTTTTTTAAGTGTCAGGCTTACTGGGCTTATCCTTAACAAACTTATATTTGCTTGCTGGGAGATTCTCAGAGCGTTACAACCTTCAAATGCTGTAATAAATTCTTGCAACCAATCACACCATTGTAAAACCTAAATATAATCGGTTAGAAATAAATTTAGGCTATTGTGTATATACAATGAATCTAATTCTGCCCACAGACGATATTTTACATCGTTCATGTTAATTTTAGTTAGTCAATTCCAGGACAGTTCGCAAATAAGATATTGGTGTTGTAATGGCATTGTTTGCTGTAACTAAGCCAAGAGGCTTTGGTAATCTAACTAATTAAGAATCTTTGATAACATGACTAAGCCAAGAGGCTTTAGAAAGTAACTAAGCCAAAAGCCTTTTGTAACGTATCTAAGCCATATGTGAATAAATTCAAATTCCTTTTTATTTCAATAACAATTTACATATTTTGATATGTAGTAAATAATTAAATAATAGATTCTGTTATTTCTAATAGAATTAATTCTGCCCGAAAGATCACGATTTACGCTCGTAAATTGCTTTCGATAATTATGGCTAGCCTTTGTAGATCATATTTTGATTAATATACTATAATAAAGTGTTTATGGTTGAACCAGATTTCTGGGCCTTTGAGTGACAAAAAAAAACTCCTTTTTAGGTGATTCAAATAATAATAAATTATTAATTCATAATAATTTTGTTTTATTTTTTTTTTTTTGATTTATGATATTGTAGGTTAGATCGGTAGATTCGCCACTTTGCGTTCGTCACGGCTGTGCAGTAAGACGGGTAACTTTTTATTATTTTATTTATTTTTATTTTATTTGGCGACTTTCAGAGAAAAGCAACAAGTCATTTATCGAATTCGGAAGATTGAGTCGAAGATGAAATTAATACTTCACAAACCAAAAAAAAAGAAATTCTTTTCCAATACCTTTGTGATCAGTTGTCATTATAAAATATTCTTTATCCTGCATGCTTTACGTGTACATTTCGAAAGCATTTACTTTCGAGTGACGAATTAAATAAAATTTAAAAACAGCAATCTTAAATAATTTGAAATTTTGTTTAAATTCTGATTTATGAGTGAAAAAGTGCATTTTAATTTCTAATTTTCGTACGTCAAATTACTGTATATACGAGAAGAAATTCGAGGGTCGCGAAATTAAAAAAAAAAATTTGATAATCAAACCTATAAATTTTAGATTTTGCATTTTATTATTACCAATTAAAAATATATACAAGGGTTAGTTACTTGTTAGATAAAAGATTAATTCAAATTATGTGTTGTGACTTTTAAAATTGACAGTTCCTATGCAATTGGATTTTTATTTTCCTGGATATTAACATTAAATTGCTGAAATATCGCTGGTTATTTATCATTTTCTAAGGAAATTATTCTTAGTTGCTTGGTTTAAGTTGTGTGGTTATATCGGCCATGGTTATCTTTAAATCTTGTAATTCCTGATTATTTTGCTTTTCAATGGCTAATTCTTCTTGTATTACGGCTAATTTATTTAATTCCATTTGGAGTTTGTTTCGTTCATCAATGACAATATCTCGTTCAGCTTTTGTTGCTTTATGGCTTGTTCTCTCGCCATTTAAATCATTAATGGCAGCAACTAAAGCCGCAAGGGCATTATACCGTTCGACTAGGTAAGTATCTCGAGCTGCTTCCGCTTGCTTCTAGTCATTATTGCTTTTTGTAAGTTTAGTTTTTAAATCTTTAATTGTTCTTTCTGATTCGTTTTTTTTTAGAACCATCGTTTTTTATAAATTTTTTTTTTTTTTGAATCCCTAGCCTTAAGATATCGGATACAGTATTTTCATGTAGTATGGAAATTACCGACTGTTCTATTCCCCATTAACCAAATTTGATTTTTCAATTATAGCCGTTCTTCCTATACCATGAAAACCTCGTTTTAAAAAATTGAAATGCCTTTTTAAGAAACTTTGTTCACATAAAAAATATTATTTATAAATGATCTCTCCTTTTAAAGTTAATCGTAGGCTAATTATTACTTTAACTAATGGCTGTGTTATTTTTGGCTGAAATATTGATGAGCATTCGTTACGATGCCAATGATATTTTAATTTGGCGCAGAGGTTTGATTTTATCTTTACACGTGATTTGGGACGAACGTACTGTATTCAAAAGACCTTAAGCTTATATTGACAAAAAACAAATTATGCAAAAATTATAAGATATTATCATAAATTTAATATTTTATTATTTATAACAATAGAAATAAATGATTATACAAGGACAATTATACAACTCATATGACAAGACCAAAGAGTAGAAAATAATACATTAAATAAAAATAACTTACGTGATCAACTGCAGCTAGAGATATTGTGATGATAGTAACTCCAAGAGGTACTCAAAAAGTGAGAATCGGATCCCTGCTCACGGAGTCGGTTGGATTGTTACGCAAGGGAAGGTACAAAGCCAATTCCTCCTCCAGAAAAAGCAGCCCCCTTACCAAAGAAACCACACCATGAATAGTTACCAACAAACACTTCCGAATAATTATCCTCTTAAAGCCCACATACTTGTGGCTGCAATCAAGACTAGTACTTCACAAAGACTCTAGCCGCTCGCTCCTTCGGATGAAAATATAAAAAAAAAAAATAATAATAATAATAAAAATAATAATAAATCATATTACGAAAATCAAATAAATATACCTTCTTGCCCACTTCTGTCCTGCTGCCGCCTGCGTTCAAGAGTCCCTTTCTACGTCGGTCTTGGTTCGGTAAAATATTGCTCCTTCTGAGTTAACCCCTCGTTACCTATGATGTTTACGCGTTTAATAAAATAAAGAATATTAAAAGTTAATAAGTTTCTTTTCAAAAACATTTTTTTATTAATTTTGTTTTGTCTTGAAATATGAGTTGTCGCGTGAAAAAAAAGTAAATTATTTAGAAACATTTAATTTCTTTTTTATTAAGCAGCTTTTTTTATTTTTCTATATTTATACCTCCTTAAAGGATTTTCATGTAATTTTTTACTGATTATGATTATACTTAATAAACAAAAGCATTACCACATCTTAAAAAAAAAAGATTGAATCTGAATGTTTTTGATCTTGTTTAAAAAAGTTGAATCCATCAAATCTGCATATTAAATTTAATAAGAATTAGATTGGTAGATTTAGTGCTTCATAAGGATCAAGTTAGATCAAGTTTGAAACATATTCAAACTTGAATCTATTAATAATTACAGAACCTGAGATTCAACTCAACCTGATCATTGTTCAACTCAGATTTGACTCAATCTGATTAATGTTCAATCTGACACAACCCAAGACTAACTTGAATTTCAAAGGTAATATTAATTCTGAAATAAAAAAGCATTATTTTATAGTATTTTAAAATTGTTTATTTTATTATTTTTTTTGTTGACATTAATTTCTAACTATTTTTTTTACATTTTTTTCCACCAGGATTTTAGAAATATACAAGCGCAAATTGTATTAGCTTTAAGACTGCATCTTTTATTTGATATTAGATTAGTTCCACTAGAAAAAACTCGTTCTATTAGAACATTTGTTACTTTATTAAAAAAGTATTTGTTAATATTAAATAACTAATATTTTTTTTATCTGTAATCACAAGATAATCTCTAGCCATTATAGTTAAATATGAATATTCAGTTTTATATAACTATATAATTTAATTAAATTAATAAATTTTATAAATTTTATAATATATCATTAAATACATACCTTTCATTAAAGAAGAATATCTTGATTTTGTGCTGCTCGAGATACATTTAAATATAATTCTACTTCATTTTGTTTAATAATTTATTTTTATCAAAAATATGATTTAAAATACATCACTTTTATCAATATTTTCAACTTCTAAATCATTTATCACAGGTGTATATTTTGTATTATGAATATTAATAACAATTTCTCTAGTATAATGAATAAAACTTTATTTTCATTTTTTATTTTCATAATAACTAAGCTTTAACTGTAGGTCAAGTACTATATAAAATTAATTAATTATTATAGTTAGTTTATTAAAATAAAAATATATAATAATTTTAATTTTTATTTAACTTATTAGTAGCAACTATATATATATTTGAATTATCAGTTTTTTCATAATATATTTCTAATTTTTTTAATTCTACTTTTACAACAAATACTATATTACTAGAACTATCAATCTTTTCACAATATGCTATAAAATTTATCATCAAATAATTGTATATTGATATAATATTAGAAAGCATAGAATCTTTTATAGATGAAACTTGTTTAGTAGTTTATATAAAAATCTATAAATTATTATAAATATATTTATAAATTAAAATTAATTATAAAAAAGAAAGTTTAAATTTATTTTTTACCTTTAAAATAGAAATAATTTCTTTAATTTTTTTTCATTTATTATCAGTAAATTCAAATATTTGAAGTTCTTTATCTGAACTTGCAATTACATTTATTGCCTAAAATAATATTAAAAATAAATAAAATAAAATAAAATTTATATAATATTAATATTTATTCTAACCTCTTTTATTTCAAAAGCTCTATTAAGTATATTATGAGTTGAATTTCATCTTATTTTAACATCTAAAATAAGATTAAGATTTTTAAGATCAGTTTTTATAGTATAATATGCAAAATGATCTCGTCACTGTAATAAAGATCTTCTTTTAACTATAAGTTTATAAGCTAATTAATTAAAATAATAATTAATATAATAATAAAATTAAATTAAATAATAATTTATAAAAAAAATAAATATACCTTTGAAATTATTTCTCCAGTATTTAAATTTATACCTATATTACTTAAGATATCCTCTTCAATTTGTATTTCTTCTACTTAAAATTTTTTGTATGTATATTTTTATAATATAAGCAATGTAATGATAATGAGCATTAATAGTATTAAAAGAAATATTATTATCTTGATATATAGTTTTCAATTCCTTCATAAATGTATAATTATTTTTAGAATTATTACTTATAATTGTAAAAATCTAAAAAAAAATCTTTTATTCTGTTGGCATCTGAATTGTTGCTGATTGAGGTCAATTTTAGGCTAATTTATAATTGAATTTAAGTTCTGAATTGATTCTGAATGATCATGTCTAATTGGGGTTAATCAGTGTTGATCAGCAGCTATTTATGCTAATCAAAAAACATAACAAATCACACAAAGATTTATAAAGTCAAATAAATTATTTTAAAGTTTCTAATTTTTTGTAATCTAATGTATTGTAATTGTTAAAAAAGAATAACCATTTGTAAAATGTTCATGCATCTAAAGCAAATGAAAATTTTTCAGATATATTCTGTTAAAATATAATATAATATAAATATTTTTTTGAAAGAATATTTTTATATATTTTATATAATATTTAAAATTCATTTAAAAAGAATTTTTTATTTTTATTCACTCCTTTTCAAAAATTTCCATTATATATTTTTTTAATGTATTTGCTGAAGGAATTAATGTATTTAAATTTAAAATTTTATCATTTATTGAAAATACTTATTTTCAAGTATTGTGAATAGTTGATCATTAGTAATTATTCATTTAGTAATAAATTTATGAAAATCTTCTTATGTAAACTTAAAGAATATCAAATATAAATTAATAAAGATAAATATAAAAAAAATTTTATAATACAATACATATATCAGTTAACGTTTCTTTACATTTAAAAATTCATCTAATATGCTTTGTTCTTTATTTACTAAATGCTTTATTTTTTTTGGATTTTTATCAGGGTGATGATATTTTAATTGATACTAAAGATTTGTTATATTTGAATTACCAATTTTGCAAAGCATATTTTATGACTTCTAAAATATTTTTAAATAAAAAAGATATAAAAAACCTATATAATATATTATTTTCTTTTTAAAAAATTTAAAAGAATATATACGAGTAATTAAGATAATGAACTTCATGATAAGTACTTAAAAACTTATATTTTGGTAGAAAAACTTTTTCTTCAAAAAGTTCTTTGATAAAAAGTTCACTTTATAATTGTTTTTTAGAACTTTCAATAATATCTATATTAGTAATATCTATAGTTTCACTTATTATATTATTATTTGTTTACAAATTCAAGTCATGTAATATAAATTAGTCTAACATATAATTTATATTGCAAAATATTAGATCACTAATCATTTGGATCACTCAGATCATCTAAATTAAGAAAAAATGTAACTCTGAACTGATGAGATTTATCAAATTAGGATTCGTATTATAAAAATAATAAATCTGACTTGATAAAAATTGGAGTTAAGTCAAATAATCCAAGTTAATTTGACTAGCTCAAAACATTAGGTAAATATTGAGATATTTATATTTAAAATTCATTATAGTAAATTAGATCTTTATATTTTTGTATTTTTCTTTTTTTATCTTCTGGGTTTATTTATTTATTTTTTTTATCTAATAATTATTTTTTTTTAATTCTTAGTATTTTTTTATTGATTTTTTTTTTCTTTGTTTTATATTTTATTATTTTTTTAAAATTTTCTTTGGTCTTTTATTTTTTTTTTTATATTTTATTTTTATTTAGTTTTTTTATTTCTTTTTTTTTCTTTGTTTAGATTTTTTTTCTTTTTTTTTTTAAAAAAAATAAAATAAAAAGAATAAAAATAAAAATAAAATAGATTTCAGTAAATATAATATTTAATTAGTAAAATAAGATATAATAATTTTTTTTAATATAGTAAAATCTATTCATTATATTAAAATTTGTTGTATTTAATAGTTTAATAGTATTATAAAATAAGTAATAAGCAAAAATAAATTTAAAAAATAAATGCATACTAATGGCAGAGTAACTATTATATGATAAATATAAAATTTATTATACTGTATTATATTAGTTTATAATAAGATGTAGTTATTATAAGACTAGTACAATATGATATGATTATGCAAATTAGTAATTTTGTAAAATTTGATATTGTACTATACTATACTGATCCTATAATAACTATACCCTATTATAAGATCAGTACAATACAGTACAATATTAAATTTTACAAAAATTACTAATCTGTATAATCATATTGTACTATATTGATAGTATATATAAAATTTTATATATATTACTAATATGATATAGTATGATTCAAATTTTATGAAAAAATAATAATCTGCAATATCATATTATACTAGTTTAGTAAATCGTATTATACCAGTTTTTATTTTCTTTAATATTACTTTATTTTATTATATGAAGTTGAAATTTATCATTAAAAAAATTTAAAGTTAAGAAATTGGATAAAACAGATTAGATATTTCTTAAGATAATAAATTAATACATGCAAGAAAAAGTTCTTAATAAAAAAAATGTGCTGAAATTTACCTTTTATAATAAAAAATTTTTTCATTTTTAGAGCAATCTTCTTATTCTTATCCAAAATTACATTTCACCTAAAACTTCTAAATACAGTCAACTCTTGATATAGCGAACTCTTGATATAACGAATTTTTTAAACAAATATAATAAAAATACTCTTGTTATAGTGAATTGGTCAATCAAATCTCTTAAAATCTTCACTATAGCCTTATAGCGAAGTTGAAGTCTAAGACATAGAGTT